TTCCTGTTCCTGTTTGTTTCCTGTTCCTGTTCATTTCCTGTTCCTGTTCGTTTCCTGTTCCAGTTCTGTGGTAAAATAAGGCATACATGTGTAATAATACAGATCTTATTGTTCCATATTTTCGTAACAGAGAACTTCTCTCTCAGTCTGCAGGTTTACTTGTGGTTCCTAAAGAAATAAACTGAATTGAATTGAATTCATCATCATCACCTTTATTAAAGACACAGTTAGGTTCATATAAAATGTATTGTATTATGTCCATTCAGATTTGGCACCTCTTCATCCAGGAATCAGGGAATGCGTTAACAGAACAACAGACAAAAACTGTCAACCATTACAAAAGTTCTGATTTAAAACCAAATCAGTTAAATGTGCAAAATATGAGACTCTTTGCATTAAAAATAATCAGTTGCACAGCCGTGACTAAAACAGAAACAATCCTCATGTAGCAGAAAGTGATTATAAAGCTTTAAATGTTAAACACGTTAAAAGTGTTCTCAGCTTCCAGAAGAGTCCGACGGCAGCCTGGTTGGCACACAGACATTTTTACCACCCCATGTTCCAGACAGGTGACTGAAGCACCTGAAGACTTTTGGTAAATCAGGACTTTAACCCTTTTTTCTGAAGCATGAAGCAGCAGGAGGGTGTGGCTGTCAGAGGAGCACGTAAACCAGAGCCCCAAATGAGACAAAGCTGGAGTTTCTTTACACTTTTCTGTTTGAATTTAGTTTATTTGCACAAAAAAAGCCTTAAAAGGAGCAACACTGACTAACCTAACATGCACCATAAGAACATGCCAGCTTCCTGTAACCTGATTTATCTTTAAATCCAGCGTGATGAAGGAGTTCTTGGTGTTGAGCTTTCCTCCCTGCAGCCCGTCTTCAGTTTCCTCCCTGTGAAGACACGAGAGGCAGCAGATTCATTAGTGGTTCTGTGGGCTCCTCTTAGGTAACGACTATTGATCCAGGAGGCTCTTCTCCTGCATAAAAAGCTCTGGCTGTGGTAACCCATCAATCCTGACCATCAGCTTAGGAAGATAAAGATCTGCTGTGGCCACCTGGTGCATCACTGCTCTGTGCAGGAATTACAGATTAAAAAGGCTTTGAAAAGGAAGAATTTACTGTGAAAACAGCGTTTGAGGCGGTTTACAGACAGAGGGCGCTGTCAACACGCACAATGTGAGGCAGTGATTGTGGCACTCCAACCCCAGACAGACTGTCTGCAGCCACCATCAACCAT